TCTCCTTATTTTCTTCGACATTTTTCCTGTTTCCATCATACCTTCCTAATTACCCTTCAAGTGGCTCGTATTTTTAAAGTTTGAAAACTATACAGTTTTGTAGTTTTTGGAAAGTGTTATCAACGAGTACAAGCTCAAACTCGATACTTGTTTATGTTCATTAATCACCATCCAAACAATGGTGTGCCGATATTGATGGCACGCTTCGATGATTCTCCTTCCTTCTCTTTCTGTTCTCTTTCCATTGTTCTAATATATCTCTCTCCTGTCTCTCTCCTATCTCTTTCCTATATATATGTGTGTTATGTATGACGTTGTTACACTCTGGATATGTGAAATAGCTGAATAAACATCATTGCCGAGGGCGGCGGCAAGTCACTCCAATCCAGTTTGTCGTTACAAATGGTACCTCGATCGGTTGTGTATTGATAAAGTATACTCATAAGCATGATCTAGCCGGATGCGAGAAAAAGGTTATTGGTAAATAACTTGTTCGACCTAGCTTCGCGCGCTGAACAGACATTTGCTATGAGTTTCTCGATTTTGAAGGGGATTACATGGCGTTACGAGCAGAATTAACGATCACTAAGAACGGCAGCAGACGTTGTGATCAACACTAACTTGGTCTCTATGTTTGTTTCTGTTCGCCTTTCTCACAGATGAAACCAAATGATCTAATATTTTAGCCATATCAAAAACGCTGTGAATTCTATATTATTAGGATTTTAGAGCAGTTAACGCTCTATCGAATTTCCACTATATCAAAAAATTTGGCTTTTTGAAATAATGGCGGGCGCAAGATAATGCTGTAATTTTGTGTGTTCTGCGACCAGTCAAACCATATCTGAGGTTCGTTTTTTTCTAATTGAAACCAAGTTTAGTAGGATCAGATGAACTTCGTCACGAAGAACTTAAATATGACCATGGGTTTTATGTTTGATTATGTTTTCATGTAGAAGACTACCAAAAATATATTGTGGAACATTATGTAAAAATTGGCTTTTTTTGGGAGGGGGACATTTTTACTGGTTAAAGTATATTGAGTATACGTTCATAGAAATGCAAGCTTTTCAAAAAAAAGAAGCTTTGTTTCATCGAAGTTCTTAAGTTTAAAAGCTCTACAAGACTTGAAAATTTCATCGAAACCAGTGGTCACATTAGTACAACATGGTTCAGATCTCATAGGAATACGTATGCATTAAAATGATGAAACGAACATGTTCATCAATTCAATTCCATGATTTTAATTAAAAAACCAATTCACTGTCTTGGTGTCATTAAAAAGTTGCCTTTAATCAATGAGTTTTCAATACATCAATTTTTAGGTCCATTACATCATACGAAATGACTTTTTTTTGCGTTTTTTATTTTTCAAGTTTGAAGAAGGGGTAACTTTCTTGCTATACACATCAACACCCATCATCAAGCATGTTACACAAAACGTCTACTACAAATATTGATATTGTAGAAAGATAATGTAGATCAAACATTAATAGAAACTGTTAATCCGCACAATAAGAATGCTCAAGTGATGCACAGCTTACCATATGAAATATTCACTGTCTGATGGAAGGGTATCTGAGACAAATAGAACAGATTGATAAGTTCTAATGAAGCAATCTAAGATGTGCTGACCGAACTGGTGTAATGAAAAAACATAGACATGAAGATCCCAGCTTAAGAGCGATGAATCTGGCGAAGAACGACAATTGTCATACGTATAACGACCAACTGGAAAAGTAGCTTGAGATATTACCATTGATAGTGATGTTTATTGAGATATTTCATATTTTTACAGTGTAAATATTTAACATACTTTTATAGAAGAAAGCAAGAGAGATAGATGAGCACAGGAAAGAACGAGAGAGAAGAAAGATGAAATGAAGATAAGCGGGAGATGGTACCCATACTAGCACACTTTACCACTGAGGCCGGACGTGCTTCTGAGAATATTTACAATATAGAAAACCCATTAGTGAACCAAAAAAATAACAACCAATGTCAATCAGAGACGGCAAAGCAGGAAAAAATAATAACAAGAAAAGAAAAGTAATAGAATACAATATAAAAGAACCCGGTAAAAAAGAATTAATTTTTTCTTGCTCTAGAAGCATAATTAAATAAGAGTACTTTAACAGTACATAACTGCTTGAGTCTTAGTTTATTAAGATCTCGTTCTTGTTGCGAACAAAAATTTTGAAAATTTCAGAAATTGCTGAATTCTCTTGAAGAAAAACATAAATTTAGCATCATACCATCTTTCATAGAAAATATAATGATTCACATAATTGTTTTCATAATATACTCTGTTTTACACTATCATTTCATGAATATACGAAAAACTAAAGCATGAATATTTTATAACCAGCAAAACAAAAATCAATTAACGATTTTAAAAAATTTCTACACACTTCAGATAACATTAAGCTTATTAAAATATAATAGGTCGTCATATACAAAAACTTTCTGTGTAGTGCGTAAACATTATATAGAATAATTCTGTTTCATACTTCCCTATCGTAGTACATTTACATACCACACAATAATGAAAAAGCGAGACGAGGAGAAAAAATTTAGCGTCACAACGCACGTATAATACAACGATCAGTTCATTTACATATTTCTCCATCAGTTATTGTAACACTTTAAGTAAAAAAAAAAACGAAGAAAAACTCAGTATTACAACGTCAATAAAACAAATATTGATAACAATGCATTCTCAACAATCTTTATCTTCTTGTAATAACTCTTGGTATATATTACAAATACTTGACGTTGTACATTTTATCCTGTCAACACAGTGATTCCACTTAGTATAAAAAAAAAGACTTACACTCTCTCACAACAATCAAAGAAAACAACACATTTTGACATATTTTATCTGTATATTATCATAATTAACAGATGATGAGTAACATGGTATTCCTAATTTAATTTTACTCATCTATAACTATTTGACCATCACGATTCGTTAATTTATAAAAACAGTTAGTTGAATGAAATACAAATGGTAATAAAACACCAGAAGTAGATTATTATTGCTTGACAGATTTTCGTATCAGTAATATATACGTATTACTTATGATAGATGAATTTTAGTTGTTTACAGTTAATATACAATTATGTTCATTATCATCAACGCCGACTTGTTTCTTTATTTTTGTTTTGAAGCAAGAGTGACTGTGTCTCAGATCAAAAGATTGAAATTTTTTTTCAGAATTTCCTCGATGCTAAATTAAGTACTAGTATAGGAAATATTGGAGAGATATGTTGCCTGTTGTGGGTGGGTGTCGGTGGGGATGTGAGAAAAGAGAATACGAAGAAACAAGCTGACATCTAAAAAAACGAATTCTCCATGTTTACCATATGTCACGTGGATTTTCACTTTGACGTAAGGATCAGTTGAGCAGTGCCAAATCTTTTTTGTTTTATCAATTTGAGACATTTTTATTGCTGATGTATGGAATGAATTTTTTCCTCAATTATTTCTTCAATGATATGTGCGGGACCAAAAATCATATCTTACAAAGGCATTAGCCGATTTTTTATTTTTGTATATCCTATCTTTTAAAAACCCGAAAATTGATTCAAAATTGAATATTTCGAAATAGAAACAAAATCAATATCTGAAAGTTCTTCTTTCTCTTGCCATCACAACGTTTTTGTCATGGTGTGTGAAGCAACCCGACGAAAGTTTCACTTTTTTTACTGTCTACTTCGGCATTCATTAGCAATTGTGTTTTATAAACACGCACTATACAAAACAGGTCAAGTTTCATGCGAATATCTAATTTATAATTGAGGAAGCTTCTATTGTCTTAAAGCCTCGTTCTACATATATTAAAACTAAAACTTATGAAGTGAACTCAATCATATATTACAATTATATATTGTAGATTCTGCTGAATAAATCTTAGCTATTGACTCAACATAGTTTGTTGGAATAGAGAAAACAAAATAATTGATAAATAAAATACGATTTCAGTTAGCCTAGTTTGTCTACTCTCATTTCTATATTATCACCTTCTTATATCCTGTTGAATTGTTGGTGATGAGAACAAAAAGAGTGTTTGCATTATAACATGGCATAAGAAGGAAGAAAACATTTATTTATGAATAGAAGTTCATTGATATTGCGCAACATGCATGATTTGTCCATATTGTTTATTCCTTTAATGCAGACAGAAAAAGAAAATGATTATACAAAGTATAATTAGACATTTAAATGCTGTTGCATTCATATTTAATGCCTCACTAGTAAATAAATACAACAATAAACCAGGCTGGATTAACTTTCATTATACTGCGTTCTTTTCATATATTCACTTTTCGTTCTTAAAATTATCAGACCTGTATCGATAATATATTCTCTATCGGTATGAGTATCGGCGAGGGCGTGAGAGAAGAGATAGCTCACACCGAAACTTTCCTTTCGGTGTTATAAAAAAGTCATTAGAAAAAATCAATAAAGTTTTGTTTTTGCTAGTTTTGTAGAGAAATCGATAGTACATCTTTAAAAATAGTCACAATGCTGTGTTTTCTCTGTGTCGAGTTATTTGCCAAGTAAGTGATGTTGCAAGCTTTTTAGTATACCTGATATTCTTTAGTAATAATACTTGTCGATGCTTTTTCCACAGAAAACATAAATTTTGACATTGTATGCTTTTTATAACTTCTAACTACAAGAACACATTTACAATCATGAACAAAAATTAGCACAACAGTAGTTTTTTTACAAATATGTATAATAAATATTTTGTTGCTTGATACTCAAAAGCTTTTTCATAGTACTCTCATTGATTCAATGAGATTTTCATAATAGTACGTCATGTTCTGCTACGATCTTCGATAGCTCTGTTCCACAATCTATTCCACATGCTTTTGAATATTGTTCAACATTTCATTATATGAACACTATATTGTTACAATACGAGACTAAATAAATTTCGAGAAAATATGTTCATTGAATAAATATGAAATTGAAAAAAATAAAATCATCGTCATCTATGAAGATTGCGATGCCTTAAATTGATGAAGAATTTGAATAAAGCTTTACGAAACACTTTTCCACCAGCTAGTGTATAAATATAAAATGGCATTCCATTTGCTAAGAAATGAAGTAATTGAGCAAGATTATAAACCAAATTGTCAACGGCTGCTTGCAATGCAGATGGTGTTCTATCAGTCATGATTGCTGAGTATAATTTCTGAAAAGCCAATGGGAGAGATAATAAGACAAGAATAAAAATTTGTACAAGAAGCATAATTAATAGATTCTGATCTTGCTTGGACATTCGACGTCGTGGATTTGCATTGGTTGTTACCGTATGTGTCACCATTGATGTATCTCTATTAGCTACTCGACCTCTTGACTGACGAATGTTGCAAACAGTCATCAAACCAAACATTAACATGAGAGGCAAAGGAAGAATAGCCAGTAGCATAAATGATATATCCGTCACGAATCGACATGCTATTGTTATTCCATAACATTTCTGTGGAGCATTTATAAGATTTGGCTCATGACAATAGATAACATGTGAAAAAACTAAACTAGCTACAATAAGACTGATAATCATAGCACGCTTAGCATTTTTCAATGAGCTCATTTGTCGACGCTGTAAACTAGGACTTGACAAAAGCCATCGATCAATTATAGCAAAAAGTATATACCAAATTGCTACTGGTCTTGCAATATTCACAACAAAACCACGAAGTTTACAAAAAAATCGAGTTGTTGCTGTTAGATCAGTTCCCCAACCAGACAATATTCGAGAAAGAAGACCAGAAAGAATAGCAATAAAATTAACCACTGATGAGAATAGAAAAAGTGTAGCACATGGATTGGAACGAAATGATGATTGAGATAAAACCAAAACATTAAGAATATTTCCAATCGAACCAAAAAGAAAGATAAAAATTGAAAAGTAACGAATGATTTGAAGTGTGACATAATCCACCGTTGTAATCAGATTTGCATTCGACAATGAAGACATTGTTGAATTCAATTGCTCCATGATAAGTTAAATCTAAAAATGGTCGCAATGGAACTTGTAAAATCTATTGTTCAAATTTCTATGCACATAGAAAACCAGATGAATGAGATGTGAAATTTATCGGCTCATGAAAACTCATGTTTGAATGACAAACAATATCTCTTATGAGTTTATTGTGTGAATTCATATACTGATTACTTATGGGTGGACACTTGATGATATTAGAATCTACATCTTCATGAGAAGCAATTTGTAACAGGTCTTTTTGTACTATTTTCATAAGAGAAAAGCTTTTTCTATAGTGTATATTTTAAAACTATTACTATTTGATACTTATTCAAGGAGAAATATCGCTGCATCATTTCTTATCATGTGAAAATAAGATCTTCTTTCGTAAGTAGTTCAATATTTAATCCTTATAGATTTTAGAGAATCCTCTTTCTTTTTGACCGTTTCTGGTTCTCGAAGAGACGGTTAACGAATCATGTAAATATTTTTACCATTGATAGGGGACCAAAAGTAACAAAAAAATTTGTTAGAGGAAAAATTATTTGCTTAACTCATTTTACAGGATCCTGAAAGCTAAGGCTTGGGTTTTGTCGAAAAGAAATCTCGTTACATTCTATTTTACTCATTAACGTCTCACACGACTGTCTTTCTTAGGTTTTTAGATGTAAATAAAATCATCTACTAAAACTAATTATCTCTCCTACTCGATTCTGAAATTTTACTTTGCGTATTTGTTGCATTTTTCTCTAGCGATTCTAACAGATTGATGTTGAAATGCATGACAATACGCAACGTGTAATCCATTAGACATGTTCTGTTACGATTAAAACTAATGCACCTTGCTTGATATTATAAAAATGAAAATAGAGTTCTACCAATTAAAAATTAACGGTTCACGTCTTCATGTTCTTACTAGAATTGAAGAGCAGAAAAAAATGCTAGAATGAATTACATTCCATTTTTAATCATGTCATTCAAGCAGAACTACATTAGTAATCAAAGAATGTTACTTCTGATATTTGAAAGCAGTATACCACCTATGCAGAAAATCTAGAATTGTAACAAAAAAAATAAATGTACCTATTTCATTTTCTCAGGTATTATGCTACCTTATACGATATGGAAAGTATTCATCCCTCATGTGACATCTTGCATTTTCAGGATGTGACAATGCTCTTACGTTAATTATAGCCTCTTGCTATGTTTATATCACAATGCAACCACGAGCAAGAACTGTCGGATCACATAAGACGCATTGAAAGCGTATTTTCCTCACCTTTCCTTCTTTCTCATATTTCTTCATTTGACTAACTTACATTACCTGCTTGAAAACTGAAAAGATGAAAGTGTTACTTTCAAACAATATTATATGTCTACATGGTTGAATAGAACTTATAGGGCATTATTTTTGGATTGTTAAACATTTTTGTTCACTTTTTAACAGATCTTGAAGTTTTGTTTGTCTCTCTGATCTAAGCAGAATAACCATAATGTTAAATAGTTACATGATATTGTGTCACGTCAAACAAAATAGCAAGTGATTTGTAGTTACTCATCACTTGTAAAAAAAAAGTAGATAAAAGAGACAAGAAAAAATTATGGGTCTCAAAAAATGGCGTATTTATAAGAACAATTGATAAGTGTGAAAAAAGAGTGACAAAGAAAGTCAAAAATCGAACACATGTATTAATAGGAAACTCCAAGAGAAAATTATTGCCAAAGTCAAAAATAACACTCTACAGTGAATACTGATGAACATTAAGTAAATGCTGCAATCTACTACATATCAAATGGTTGGCGCTGAGATAAAGACTTATCTTGATTTGACGTGTTGAAATAATAAAACTCATTGGTAAGTACCAACATAGTTGTCGAGTCATCTTAGTACCAAGCAACACTTTTTTGTCTTCATTGCTAATAAACTCTTTTGCATAAGTAATACGTTTGTTAATTTTTGAGTTACATATATGTAATTAGTGAGAACCTAAAGTAACTACGTCAAATCAGTATCATCCGCTCTTCTCTAATATATATTCAGAATATTTCTTTGACTGAGGAATACTTAGCTGAAAAGTATGACCAGGGAAAAATATGATATCATTACAGAGAAATTATATTTTTGCTCACTATGCTTTACTTTTATAGGCTGTACTTTGAATCAGATCTACGCCGGTCATTTGTAGTTTTTCTGAGAACTACATGATATATTAAATAACATTCTGTCAATTTGATAGCATACTATTAAGAAGAAACTTTGCTCTATACAACTGACTCATGTAGATTTATTTCATGTTTCGTATTCAGTAGACTTGATTCAAAACATAAAAAATTCATCAAATAAAATTCTATATAAACGTCATTTTTCATTCTATCAAACATTTGGCTTATCTCTAATCAATTCTAAATCAAAGAAATATTCTCATTACTTAGTTGAAAAGAGCACGAGATTCCAATTTTAGTTAACTACTTTTGATTTTCACTAATTGCATATAGTTGACTATGGAAAAAACATAGAGCTCAGAGTAAAATTGCAAGTGAAAATCACACACGATAAATAATTGATGCGATAATTATCTACTCACGTCAAAGAAAAGCTACTCAAAATCGGATTAAAATCCATTATTTGTGGATAAATAATTTATTATAATAGCATTATTTTTATCTGATTTTAATGAAAATTTTCAGCTTTAATGACAGAGTTCATTGTTTTTATAATCTATTTTAATTGATTATCTATATTAAGCCAATGACAACTCGTTATTTAAATCGATTTTATTTCGTCGAAATTTGCTACTCGATTAAAATAAATTGAAGAATCAGATTAAATTCAGATAAAAATAATGCTATTATAATAGACTTTAATCGGATTTTTAGCCATTCTTTTTACATAGATAAATTATGTAAGAAAATTGGACCGCAATTCATTAGATGACAGCCATTCGCTACTTGATCATCAAGTGCACAATAGAAACATTCTCTGCAATAAAACGATGAAATATCAAGAAAAACATACACAAAATAGAAAAAACGTAATACATACAGGATTGAAGTGTGAAATGCGGCAAATTTGTTCCACCCGCAAACGTGAATCATATTCACATTTTTCACGATATCTCTCAGGATTACATAGACTAACATATCAAAATATCTATCACGATCTGTGACACCAAGGAGCTTTGCACATAACATCTACTTATCATGGCTTGTGGCTGTTCGAGGAAGTCTTGCATACTCTTTCTGTCAGAATCTGGATACCAAAGACTTCAAAAAGTTTTTAAAAAATACAGTAAAATGATGAGAAAGATATTTTTATCAACCTAATTTTATGATTTTGATTGAAAATAAAATGCTTTGCCTTTTCTTCATTGAAACTGTTGCTTTTAATTTATGAGTTTGAAATAAATCAACTATTTCTGTTCGTTACATCATCCAAAATGCCATTTTTTAATGTTTTTTTATATAGAATTCGTGGAAGTCATGAACTACTTTTGATTAATCAAGTTTATGGACGTTCGACGAAATTCGGGAAGAGCATAGCTTTTCTTGCTATACACTTCCACATTCATTACCTACCGTATTGCACAAAAGACCAACTACAGTAGAATAAGAAGGTAGGCCCAATGTTAGTGGCAATTACTGTTAATTAGCACAAGAGGAGTGTTAAGGTGACATAAAGCGTATCATATGAAATATTCATTATCTGATGATAGGATACATGAGAGAAGAGTAAAGATTGATAAATTAGATAGCACAATCGGAAATGTGTATGTCGGCTGGTGTTAAAAGAAAAAGTAGACAGGAAGATCTCAGCGATAGAAAAGCGAATGCGACGAAGAACAATAGCATTCATACTTGTATCGACCAACTCTTAGACTAACTTGACATACCACTCTCGATAGTGATGTTTATTGAGTTACTTAATACCTCCACAATGTAATTACTTCAGATACAACACACACTTATATAAGAGAGAGAAAGACAACGAGACAACGATGAACACAGGAAAGACCGGCAAAGAGAAGATAAGAAGAAGAAAAAAGTCAGGTCAATGAAGGGTGATATTTAGGAAAGGATTTATGAGACATTCATATTTCAATTATGAGTATATCATAATTCTGTATTATATCCTTTTTGAGTATATCAATATTTCATAAGTTGTTTCGTATAAGCGTTTGCATGGGTATATAGAAGCATCTTCTTAACCTTTATGAAAGGAGTTAGAAAAATGCCATAAACGATAAAAAAGAAAAGATTTATTAGACTTTATACTTTCATAGGCTCTTCAAAGGTACCTAATGTCACTCTTCGAAGTTTCTGGAACACCATATGTATCTTAAAGTACGTTGGTTTTTCACTAAAGCAAAATTTGTAATAGCTACGAAAAAATCACTAGAGCAATGGTTTTCGAAATAATAAAAATACTCACACCGAATAAGTGATCACTATATATGTGAAAAAACTTTCAGTTTGATACCTCGTAGCGTGTCGGAGACTTGAAGACGAAACAATACTTGTTTTATATAAAATTTGATTTGACTATTGCGTATTTGATGAAATAATTTTCTATGTTCAGAATACCTTCTTTTTATGCCTTGAGATGTCCATAATTAGACACATAAATAATATACTTTTTGTTGACTGTACTTCTGTGCTATCACTAATAGAAGTAATCAACGATTACCAATAGTCCAGAATGTAAAAACAACCTATACTACGAAAAATAATTATGAAATCGAAAAATTTTCGAATTCATCGTGTTAATCGTAGCTCGAATAAACTGAATCAGCTGTCTCATACTGAAATAAAATGATGCTTTGTGCATCTCGATATACTATTCTAACATAATCATATGCTAAAAATAAGATAACTACAAGCAGATTAAACACAAAGAGGAACTATTTTGAAAGAGAGCCGTATCAAAAATTGTTTTATTTTTAAATCAAAAGAAGTTTGTTTTCTTCCTAGATCAATAGAAGACAATGCAATGTACATATATATCAATGAAAAATATA